TGTTGGACAACGTATGTGCATGCTGCCATGTGCCCCAATAGTCTGAGACAGACCTGGGTAGTGATGAAGGTGGGCAATGACATTGGCAAATCAGATCTGATATTGCCCTGAACCTGGCCTAGGACAGGAATGCTCTGGCTCAGGTAAAGTTGAGCACCAATCCAATAAACTCTATCCTTTGGACCGGGATCAAGTGGCTCACAATATCTCGACGCTGCGCTGGACCTGGACCCTGGAGGGGCCCTTGATGAGCCAGTCGTTGAGGTACGGGTAGATCTGGATACCCCAACATCTGAGGTAGGCCGCCACCACCAATATGCACTTCATAAACACCCTTGGTACCATTGCGAGGCCGAAAGGCAGCACTACCAATTAGTAGTGCGCGGTCCCAACTACGAAACATAGGAACCGTCGGTGTCAGTGAAATATCAGTATGTGGAAGTAAGTGTCTTTAGGTCGAGGGAAACATACCAGTCTCCTGGATCCAGGGAAGGAATGATGGAGGCCAGGGAGACCATGCAGAACTTCAACTCCATGAGATACTTCTTGAGGCTCCGCAGGTCGAGGATGGGGCGGAGACCACCCTTGGCCTTTGGGATCAAAAAATAGTAAAACCCTTTCCCCCTCAAGTGCAGAGGGACTTCCTCCATGGCTCCCACTCATAGAAGGCCCTGCACCTCCCGAGTGAGCAGATGCTCATGAGAAGGGTCCCTGAAGAGGGATGTGGGGGATAGAAATAAACTGGAGGGCATATCTCCCTGCTACTATGCTGAGGACTCACTGTTCCAATGTTATAGAAGCCCAGGCAGGGAAGAAGGGGGACAAACTGTTGGAAAAAAGCTGGGGTGCTGGATTCACGACACGGGCTGGAAGATCTCTTTCGAGTACACCCTCAAAATGCCTGCTTATTACCCGGTTGGTTGCAGGTGGAGCTCAAGTGAGCTGAAGAGGCCAGCTGATGGCCTTGCCGGCGCTTATACCCTTGCCCTTCTTGCAAAAGGGCTCTTATCGAGGTTGGGTCCCGAACCTGTTAGACAGCTGCGGCTTAAACCGCTTCCTCGCAGGTACCAGCATGTAAAGGCCCAGCATGTAATTTACTTTCTGCCTGTTCTGAGAACAGTGCCAGGTCGTCAAATGGGAGGTCCTCGATGGACTGCTGAACCTCCACCGATAGGCCCAACGGCTGCAACCAAGAGGCACACCTCACAGAAATAGCCGAAACCATGGTCCAGGCTGCCAAATCTGCCTAGAGTCTGGGGACTTATGCTGGGACCTCAGGCAGGTAAGCCGACCAGCATCTGGGGACTGGTGGCGCTGTTCAGGTGAGCGTTGGCAGGGCACCCCCTGCGGCGGGGAATGGTGCCACACTGATGAAGACCGCTGGAAGGGTCTGGGGGTGGCAGGCAGGTCTGGAAGTGGGCTCGACCACTCAATGGGAGCTGGAGTCTGACCAACATCTGGAGGGGAAGAGCTGCCCCACAAGGGTCTTTGCTCTCCTCCAGCTCTCTCCTTCCCTTTATGGGATGTAGGAGAATGCCCTCTCCCGGCCTTTCTTTGCTTTTTAGCCAGTACTAGGGATGGGGCGCTCTGCCCCAAGGCCGCAGTGCTTGGAGCAGAGTCCGATCTCGTTAGCTTCGAGGCTGGTGCAAGGGCAGACTCCATAAGAAGCGCTCGGATACGTCTCGCTCCTTTTTGGTCTGTGGCCTGAAGTTTTTGCAAATGCAACACTCATCGCTCACGTAGGTTTTCCCTAAACACTTCAGGAAGCTTCTATGGGGATCACTGACGGGCATAGATTTTTTGCAGCACTCACAAGGCTTGAAGTCCGGGGACCGGGGCATGCCCCGTCCCTAGGCTAAGTCCTATACAGGACTTACTAATTAATTCAAACTTAATACTAAAGGAACTATTAGTTCTACAACTTTAATAACTATATACAACGAATTCGCTACTACATACACTAACAAAGCTTGCCGAGGCAAGGAGACATTCCAGCACCGTCAATGGCAGTAAGAAGGAACTGAGGGAGGGGGGAGCTGCTGGCGCCCCTTATACCAGTACATATGTGTGCCACTCTAGAGGGCACCAGAGCTGGTCCCCTAAGGATACCACTGAGGGGACAACTTCCGGCACCAGTGCATGTGGCGAGCACACACACCTACAATGGAATGGACACGAGCAAGTACTCAAAGAAGAAACTTCCATTACAGGTGGAGCTTGCTGCAGCTCAGTCTGCTTCTTTCTGCTCGTCTTCAGAACAATACATGTCTTGGCCAGCTTCTAGCCCACATCCTCCTGTGTCCCCCGAGCTCCTTTCCAACCTCCTTCTCTAGTACTCACTGCATGCCCTTTCAGCATCCTGTTTGATGTCTGAGTGATCAGCTTAAATGTCAGGGCTGTTGATGGCTTTGGTACCAGGGTCAGCACCAGCTGATATTGACAGTGATGCCAGTGATGGGGTCAGGTTATGGTGCTTCTTTCTCTGCGGAGATGCCTGCCTGCTTGATGGAGCACTGGTAGATGCAGTCTTGACCATTAAATGGAACTTTGAACTCAGCTCTTCTGGATCTGATGACATTCTCACAGATTACTCTAGAAGACTGACTTTCAGCCTCACATCCTTTGATTTGTGGATTCTTACAGCAAAGGTGAGACAGACCAAACACCTTCAGATGTGAGACTCTCTCAAGCAGAACAAGCATCTGTTGTACTAGTATTGCAAGACAGAGAAGGCTTGAAGCCTGCGGGTTTTGAGTCTGCCATTCCAGGACTCTGTCTGGAACGTCTGCAAGCAGCTTTCTGTTCGAAAAGCACAACAGACAAGGGTACTAAAAATAAAAGAATATAAATAGTTCTGAGACATTTCAGAGAGTTTGGAGAAGCTTTCGAGAAATCTAGCTAAAGCCTAGTGGGTCGGACATCAGCTAAGTTCCATCTCACTGCCATGGGTGCTAAAAAGGAACTGATGGAGGGTGGCAACCATCCACTCTTTATGCCCTCATACGGGAGCACAACGATTCACATGGCACATAGGCACATTTAAGAAAATGGAGGTGGCTTTAAAAAGGGAGCAGCGTCAGGATGTTGGAAAAGATGAATAGGAGTCAGGGGTCAAGGAGAGTATAATTTTCACAAGAAACAAAATTAAGAGTCAAGTAAATTCTTTTAAAAAACAGACGCAGTGTCAATTTACAATATATTTTGCAAAAGAATTATATGAAAACCTACATTCTGTATTCTATTTTCTTACTGATGTGGAATATTTATTGACTAGGAATGGAGGTGAATTTCTTTTGTTTTATACAGTGAGGAATGATTGGGTGATCAAAATAAGTAGCTTTTAATCATTTTCTAGAAGATAAATTACAGACATTTATCAGGACCTGTGACACTGTTAAAAATGTCTTAAGTTAATAAAATGATTATTTCAGCAAGACATTTTACTTACAATACAAATTGGCCTAAGGTCCTATATGGATAGCATAATCCAAGTACAATTTTAGCTTCAATCACTACACATTTTCTCTTTTAAATGTCGAACGGTACTATGTCAAAGTAGCTGTCCTCATGCATTTCTCATTGTTTTTTCCTTAGGGTCATTATCAATTGATGGCCAGGCTAGAGCCTTCTGAATTTACTGAATTTTAGCTGAACCAGCAACTCAATTACAGATCAGTCCCACCTCTTGAGATTTGCAAAAAAAATCCTGTCAAGTTCTGTACCTCATTATTTTACATTTTTTGTTTTAATTATATCCTCCATTGTGTAGATAGCAGGTAGTAATTTTCTTGACCTAAGTATCTAGTCCCGAGAGACACTATTGTGTCTGCTCAAGAGGACTTCTCTATTAAAGTGAATGACCAAAAATGCAGACAATGGGGCGTGTGACTGCTAGAGATCTGAGGGCACTTCGAAAGCTATCATACACAAGGCCAGCTACAAGAAGTACCACATCTTAGTAAAGGGGTTCTGAACCCATCAGGTGCAAAATGGTGACTGATAACTGCATGTAGACTATAAACTCCGCAGGGAAAGGTGCATGTCCTGAGTCTCACTATATAGAGCCATGCAAATCTATGGAGCTACATACAAATGTTTAACAGCAGCAAATTGATAAAATTACATCATTACGTAAAAATCTATACAGAAAGAATGGGAAACTCCTGGTACCCTTAAAAGAGCCAACAAGCAGACGTTTTGTAAACAGAAGAAAAACTAGGAAATACTTGTACAGCTCTCTTAAGCGGATGCAGATGTTCCAGCCATGGTAAAGGTAATTACCATACCAACAGAATGGAACTTGTTCCGTAAAGACCAGATAGACCATAGGGATGAAAGATTCCCTTATGAAAAACTTTGTCAAGTTTTGTCTGTGCCCCTCAACTTCTCTCTTTTTTATTTAAGTTGGTAACTCTACTGTGTTTTGGGATATAGTATCAATAAAAGGTCCTATACAAAATAAAGATGCAAAATAAAAATACTGAAGAACTGCAATATTTGTAGTTACATATGCAAAGATAATTGTAAACAGATTAATTACTTCAGAGTGTAAGATGAACACCTGCCAGGACTGGGAGGGAATTTATTGCCACCACATCCTTCCTCCTCCCCCCTACTTCCCATGTTCCACATTGCACAACTGGCTAACAACTACATGGGGAAGGGAGTTCATAGTTCTCTGAAGCATCAGGTATTACATTCTGATGAAAGCAGGACTTCAGACTTGATGGACCACTGGCCTCATCCAGTACGGAAATCTCAATTCCTATGTCCATTTTTTCAGCTTTTTGGGTAGTGTAGGAATGTGTTTCAATAACTTGAGCTGTTATTTATCTCCACTACAAAACAAGGTGAATATTAAGGGCGAACAAAAAGGTTGATGAGTTGTCATATGACCTTTCATAGTCTATGAAAAGTCAGGCAAAGTTTTTGGTATACCAAAATGACATGTGCAAGACAAAAATCATAGAATCAAGAATAGTATAAAGTTTAAATCAAACCTTTTCTTGAATCAGTCTCTGAAGATGAATCCCACATGACAACATAGAAGCAAACATGGTCAGCATGTACTGTTGAACTTTACATATTCCAGTTGCCAATGAGTTTATAACAGCCATTAACCCGACCTTTTCAATCACACTCTGGAAAGCACTGGGTGAGTGACGAGTAATCCTGCATAAAGCCTATATAAATAATAAGATATTCCCATTAAGTAATGCTATTTTCATTTTAATAATAAAATAACTAATGCAATAAAGAAAATCAATGAACAGCAACAGCTTTTCCAATTGTATTTTTAGGAGCAGACAAATGTAGTGAATTCATATGGTTTAATTTCCCCCCACACTCATATACACACACTGCAACTTGCTCTATAAATTAGAAAGAATAATTTTAATCAAGCATTTTGTTAGTGTAAATGTTATTCCTTGCTAAGGTACAATATCATAATACAAAATGGTTATTTTATTATAAGTTGGGTGTCTGTGTTAGCTAAATTAATTTTGCTTAACTCTTCTATACACAATAGTGAATATCCTGATTTAACTATATAGATTAACAAGGAAGTCATGTTTTTGTTGTTTTAATTAAGGAAAAAGAAAACCAAAGCTAAAGCAGATGATATAAGCAATTAAGCCTATAAAGGAACAAGAAAAACAACTCCCATTTCTTTAGAGTAAGGATTCATATAAAATGTAAAACTAATATTTACAAATAAAAACAATCACAAAATTCATCAAACACACTCCATACTTTTATATCAAATCTAACTTTTTTGACCATTGAAATAATCCAGCTGAGGAGGAGGAAGAGCAATGTTCTTATTTTCAATCTGCATAGGTAAGTCAAATAATAAGTTTGAACATAGGTATCTGACCAAATTGAGAGAAACTGACAATAAAAGGAAATCATGTCACTTTATATAAATAAGTAATTTTTCTTTTGCTATTATCTTCACCGACATCAAGGAATTAATCAGTTTTGCATTATCCAAGTGTATGAAACAGATCTACAGCAGTGGTTTTCAACCTTTTTTCATTTGCAGACCCCTAAAAAATTTCAAATGGAGGTGTGAATCCCTTTGGAAATTTTAGACATAGTCTGCAGATCCCCAGAGGTAATGACAACTTTTGCAGACCTCCTGCAAATCCCTAGGGGTTCACGGATCACACATAGAAAATCATTGATCTATAGTATTTGAAACAAAATAAAGGTTTTAAAAAATCTCAAAGTAAAAATTGAAGAAATGTACATTTTAAATGAAAGAAAAGAATCTCAAGGGATCATGCCATAATCAGAATATTCAAATAAATTAAGAATTCTCCCCATAGTGAGTTTAACACAGACACACAATTGGTTTCATTAGTATTGAAAAGATTCTTGGAGCAGCTGGTAGGACAAAAAGCAAACTTTCTCTTGATACAAAATCCCTATCCAATTAAACTGGAGAAACTTTCTAAAGAAAGGGGTCACTGAAATATGTCTAAACAGATTGTACAAGGCCAGACAGTATTTGCCTAACGCTCTCAAAACGTTAGTAAACTTTGTAGACTTTCCATTTTCATTTATGAGGTTTCAGTTTTCATACTGGATAATGTTTGCTGATTGACACCGGGGTGCTGGAACAGTTTTGATAGTGGAGGTGCTGATGATGGAAACCATGTATTTAGTGTTTGTTATTACCACTTCAAGCCACGGGGGGCAGCAGCAGCTCTAGTCCCAGCACAACTGATTGACTCTGCAAAAGGTATGATTTATCAAGCTCCTAAGCAACTGGGAGGACATTCTGTCCCTAAAGCACCTTAAGTTTGGGTAATTTCTAAATCTGAAGTATGCAGAATCTCTGAGCTGAGCTTCAGAGACTTAGTCTAATGAAGAGAAAATTTGCAAGACTGATTTAGTTTCAGCATTTTTAAAGTCCTATTCAGTCCAGAATGATGAAGAGTTAATATCATCTCAGAACTGTAATAATAAAGTAACTTGCCTGAGAAAAATATAACTGCGACATTAGACCATAAATACAAATTTATACTGTTTTATACTAAATAATGTTTGATATGCATTTTAAACCGGGTGTTCTAAATTTGATCCCATAGCTACTTTTTTTTATAACTCCAGGACAGAAAAAACTAAGTATTTGCTTGGTGCTTAGAAATGCAGTGGAGTCTATTTAAACCAAACATGGGTTATTTAACAGTAGAACTAAATAGACATTTTATTGAACCTGTTCAACTACTCAGTGTTCCTACTTTCTTGTCCTCTCCAGACCAATGCAGACTTAACAATTCCTGCTCTTTTCATTCACTTTCTATAGCCATCTCTCTTTTAAAACAGATTCTGCAAAGTCCATCAGTCAGAAAAAAAATCAAATCAAATAAGATGACTCAGCTGAGCTTTGCCAAGTTTTTAATCCCCATTTAAGTGGTTTATGCTGTATGTAGCTGGCTCTTCCTACCATAGAAAAAGCAGAACTCTCTCACTCTCTCTCTTCATATTTTAAACACTGCATCAATATTTTGTGGCCAACGAAGACATAACCATTCCACTTATTTTGAAAAAAATGTTTTTAACTGCTGCACTTGTGAGAATGAGCCATTTTGACTCATATTTTATAGAATTATTTCTTTGACACAGGCAAGACATTAAAAAGATTCAGTTTCTCTACAGGACAAAGTCTGTTATATTTACCTGGTGCAAGCTAGACTCCAAAGAAAAGAAAAATATTGAGACTCAGTTCCAGCTTATCATCTGTGACAGAGGACTGCATTAAAAAAAGTGTCTTTTTCCTTGACTCCAGACACTGAGGACAGAATCTTCTTGATAGATTTTTATTATTGATTAAAACTAAAATTATAATAAATAATAATAATCATAAGGAGCACAATTCCAGAGTACCCTTAGAGTGAAATCCTGATGTTGGTGTACTTTCCATATTGCCTGTTCTCTCAATGTCAAGATACAACAGTCATTTCTCAAACAAAATGCATTCTTAGATATGACTTAGGCTACGTCTTCACTACGGGGGGGGGGGGTTGATTTAAGATACGCAAATTCAGCTACGCGAATAGCGTAGCTGAATTCGACGTATCGCAGCCGACTTACCCCGCTGTGAGGACGGCGGCAAAATCGACCTCCGCGGCTTCCCGTCGACGGCTCTTACTCCCACCTTCGCTGGTGGAGTAAGAGCGTCGATTCGGGGATTGACTGTCGCATCCTGACGGGACGCGATAAATCGATCTCCGAGAGGTCGATTTCTACCCGCCGATTCAGGCGGGTAGTGTAGACCTAGCTTAAGTCTCAATTGTGAAGAATTCTTCAAGATACCTTTAAAAAAGGCAGCGGAGGCTCCCTCAAATATGATCAAATAAAATAGGATATAGGACTAATGACATCTGTTCACACAGTCATGAGGCACAAAATTGACTAAATATCTCTTTGGAACAATAAATTACAGTGAAACCGATGGCGCGTACCAAAAAGAGGCTCAATGTCACAGAAAGACATACATGTTATGTCTACACTGCAATAAAAGACCTGTGGCACAGCTGCTGCTGGTCTGGGTCAGCTGGCTCAGCCTTGCAGGGCTCAGGCTAGCAGAGCTAAAATTTGCAGTGTAGACATTTGGGCTAGGACTGGAGCCTGGAATCTGAAACCCCATAAGGGGAGGGGGGTCTCAAAGCACAGGCTCCAGTCCAAGTCTGAACATCTACACTGCAATTTTTAGCCCTGCAGCCCTGAGACCTGCTAGCCCGAGTCAGTTGACCTGGGATCTGAGACTCTGTACCCAGGTTTTTTTTATTGCAGTCTAGACGTACCCGTAGTGCAGTCTAGACGTACCCGTAGTACAGTCTAATATAGATTACCTGATAGAGGTATATAAAATCATGAGTGATGTGGAGAAAGTAGATAAGGAAAAGTTATTTACTTATTCCCATAATACAAGAACTAGGGGCCACCACATGAAATTAATGGGCAGGTTTAAAACAAATAAAAGGAAGTTCTTCTTCACACAGAGCACAGTCAACTTGTGGAACTCCTTACCTGAGGAGGTTGTGAAGGCTAGGTCTATAACAGGGTTTAAAAGAGAACTGGATACATTCATGGAGGTTAAGTCCATTAATGGCTATTAGCCAGGATGGGTAAGGAATGGTGTCCCTAGTCTCTGTTTGTCAGAGGGTGGAGATGGATGGCAGAAGAGAGATCACTTGATCATTACCTGTTAGCTTCACTCCCTCTGGGGCATCTGGCATTGGCCACTGTCGGTAGACAGGATACTGGGCTAGATGGACCTTTGATCTGACTCAGTACGGCCATTCTTATGTTCTTATGTTATGTTCTAATCCAGGGGTGGGGAAACTCTTTGGGCCAAGGGCCACATCTGGGTATAGAAATTGTATGGCGAGACATGAATGCTCACAAAATTGGGGTTGGGATGTGGGAGGGGGTGAGGGCTCTGGCTGGGGGTGCAGGCTCCAGGGTGGGGCCAGAAATGAGGAGTTCAGAGTGCGGGAGGGGGCTCTGGGCTGGGGCAGGGTGGGTGGGATGGGATGGGATGGGGCTGCAGATGAGGGGTTTGGGGTGTAGGAGGGTGCTCCGGGCTGGGACCGAGAGGTTCGGAGGGTGGGAGGGGGATCAGAGCTGGCGCAGGGGGATGGCTCAGGGGTGCAAGTTCTGGGCGGAACTTACCTCAAGTGGCTCCCGGAAGCAGCGGCATGTCCCCGCTCCAGCTCTTACGCAGCGGCACGGCCAGGCAGCTCTACACGCTGCCCTGTCCGCAGGCGCCACCCTGCAGCTCCCATTGGCTGCGGTTCCCAGCCTATGGGAGCTGCAGGGGCAGGGGTTGGGGTGGCGGCAGCATGCAAAGCGGAGCCCCTGGCTGCCCCTACACGTAGGAGCCGGAGGTGGGATGTGCTGCTGCTTCTGGAAGCTGTGCGGAGCGGCTCGCGACACTGCTCCCCGGCTGGAGCGCCGGAGAGGGGCAAGCCCTAGACCCCGCTCCCCAGCGGGAGCTCGAAGGCAAGATTAAAATGGCTGGTGAGCTGGATCCGGCCCACGGGCCATAGTTTGCCCACCCCTGGTCTAATCCAAAAGGGCATTAATTGTGTAGCAAGGCTTCCATCAGTCCACTGCAACCCCAACATGGCTCATAAAACCTACAAATGTACCACGTTGTTCTTAGATT